GCACAATTTAAGAACAAATCTGTGCGTACGAATGATTCTTGCATGAGGCCCAATAATCTTGTTTTCAGAATGTGTAAGATTATTTGTCTTGTTAGCCTGAAAATTTGACTCAAACTAAGTGAAAATTTTCTGCCAGTAAAGAAAATTTTACTTAGCAAAGTTCTTTAAATAAGAAAAAATTGAGTCAAATCAAGTATTTCAAGAATCTTACCAAGTAACATTTCTTACTCCATTGGCAGAAATTTTTCACTTAATTTGAGTCAAATTTTCAGACTAACAAGACAAAAATTTTACACATTCTGAAAACAAGATGATTATTCTTATACAATCAGTTCTTGTTTAGTAAATCAGTCTCAAAACAAGATCAAAAAGACTTTTTGGCTGGATATAAGGTTTTAAAACTTGGTAAGATGGACATTTTTTGCAGTGTGTTAATAGTTGATGCATGATTTCCTCTAAATATAATATACAAGCAGGTTCCATTATTAGATGTAAAAAACGACAATGAATTGATATCAGGGGTTCCCAAACACTGCCAAGACCATGGGGTTTCATTTATCATAACAGCATTATTAGTTTCTCGTGCAGGGCCACCTGATGACTCAAAGGTCACACAAATCCAGCAGTGCTTTCTGACCTTGGCCTGAAAATTTCTTAGACAATCTCCCAAAAAGTACCTCAGTATTTTGCAGTTTAGATACTGAGACCTAAGTTACCATAGCATAACATACCACACTGTAGCCTACATACCAATTTCTTTTATAAAGCACTTTAAAAACAACAACGTTGGCCAAAGTACTATAGACCAGTGGTTCCCAAAGTTGGGGTCGGGACCCAAAGTGGGGTCCTGAAACATCAAGGTGGGGTCCTGAAAAGATTTTCTGAATTAATTACATTTTTGTCTTAATTGTTACAAATGAGTGAGGTTGGTATATTTAAAATGGATAAATGTAGTATAAAAATATTGTTACTATGCCCATGTTTAGTTGACCTGAGGCAAATATTTATCATCCAAAAATAGCTGGGGGCACAGGTCTCTGCTACTGTTATTTTGTGGGTCAAAGCTGAAAAGTTAGGGAACCACTGCACTTTGGTTCCCAAAGTTGGGCTTGGGACCCAATTATGGCACCTAGGATAATCTCCAGAAATCAATTTAAAGGGTAATAAAATAATTGCTTATGTAAAATTTTCCCTATAACTATTCCAAAAGCACACAAAAAGTATAAATAAGCATTTATATTTGTGTATAAGCTGTTTAGGTTGTCAAAAAGCCTGTGTTTTTAGGGTTATTAAGGAAGTTCGTGTACTCAGACCAGTAATATTTGGGGTCACAAGTTTTTGCCATGAATATTTTGTGGGTCAGAAGATAAAAAGTTTGGGAACCACTGCTATAGACAATAAAAACAGAACATAAAAAACAAACACAAGCCAGAGGGCAAAAGATATTACAGACGCAAGATTTACATACATACATACATACATAAATAAATAAATAAATAAATAAATAAATAAATAAATAAATAAATAAATAAATAAATAAGACTAACTACAAGT